CCTTCCAGGTCTTGGCCCTGAAATCAAATATGGTGCCGACAACTCTGCCCCAACATTTCTACACGGGATTCAGGTGCCTATTAACCCGATAAACCCTTCCAGAGTGTTTCTGAGAAACAGTCACCTCCAGAATCCACCTTCCCTAGAGGGAGCTGATCATTCACGGTTTAGAGGCTTCAAATGAAGACTTAACTGTGTTTATTTTTTTAACTCATTCAGGTATTGAGACCTCAGCGCGAGAACGATGTGGCAAAGCTCAACAGCTTGGTTGTTATGCAGAAGGAAGAGCTGTTTTGCTTATCTAGTTCATTCTAAGCTACTGAGTGTGGAAAGGGTTTATTGCCCTTTCAGGACTGAGCTGTCTTGATACGAAACAGACACTCCCAACCTCTCCTGACAGTCCTTGGAAGCTCTAACCCTCTCAAAAAGCAGGGTGAAGCAGCTGCACAGCAGTGGTGACACACAACCCCCTCAGCAGTACACAGTGAGCACACAGCAAAGGAATCGAGGACAAGACAATCACTTTCCAAAAACAAATGAAACAACCAACCACACAACCCACAGCAATTCCAGCACCATCTGGAGAACCAGCATCATTAACAACTCCATATTAACCATAAAAACAATTCATTTAATGCAATGACAACTTTATTGAAGGAAAAAACCAGCACTGGGAAGTAAAGGTTTCACTTCATTACAGAGAAAGTTGTAAGTTAGGAACGAAGATGTTTATCAAAGTAGGAATCAAACGGTGTAATTACACAGAAAAAGCACAATAGCAAACAGAATCAGTAACAGTACAAAACATCGTGGAGAATTTCTGAGAGTTTGGTTTTTGTTTTACAAAACAATTCCATAGCTGTTAAAAAAAATCAGTGTTGTCAGACTGCAGTGAGGCACGTGGTTGTAGGAACATACCATTGTTGTGCTTTCTGTCCTACTGGTCAGTATTTGCTATGGTTGTAAACATCAGTATTTAAGACAAACGTGTGTTTAAATGTTCTCATCCTCCTCAGTTTTGTGAGTCTACAATAGCGATCTTACTTTCATTAATGTAATTAAGTACCAAAACTAAGCAAGAACCGTTCTCAGAAACCCAACAAAGGCTCTTTCAACCCCAACACACAGGAAATGGGGATGAGCTTCAAGCTCCACAAGGCAATCCCCAGAACACTAGATCCAGACTGCAGGTAAGCGAACTGGGCCCCCCGATGCCCTGCCCGCTGGCTGCGGCCTACCCACAAGTCATGGCTGACACAGGCGCGTCACCCCGCGCCTAGCTGGAAGCCATCCCACAGCAGAGCCTCCGCCCTCCCCCAGACTCGCATACCAAGTGTTCACCTGTAAAGCCAAATACACTTTCGTTGTTAAAGCACGATTTCTTAAAGGAATTTCAACTTGGTGCAGAAATGCCTCCCTTGGGTTCTCTAACAGCTCGTGAACAAATCTCATGACTGTAAATACTAAACAAGATGAAATTGTTCACATCGTCACTGTAGAACCATTTCGGACAGTACCAGTATTCACAGTGGACTTCATTGCATAAATCAGAGCAAAAAACTCTGAAGGAATGAAAACCCCCCACATTTTAACGTACAGAACCTCAGTACTCAGGGAAGAGATGACTACCAGCCTCCCCACTGCCATTTCTGCTGTATCTGGGAAGTCAGCTGACCCCAGACATGACACTTCATGCTAGAACTGTATGCTAAGGCTGCTTGGTTAAGGTTACGTTATCTGTACGGCAGGTGAGCCACAGCGAAGCTGGGCAAAAAGCACTTCTGGTAGAACACCAAATCCTACCGAGACGGGCATCCAACAGGTTTCTTTAGGGAAGTCAGCCTTGAGTTAACTGCTGTAGGCAACTGAGGAAGGACTTTGGGAAGGAAGGAGCTTTGGGATTTAAAACAAACACATCTCCATTTGCAGCAGAGGGCACAAAATAAACATTCCTGCCTTGAAGGACATTAAGACAGAAAGCTAGAGAGGGCTTCAGAGATGCCCACCACGCTTCTTGCCAAGCTGACAACCAAAGTTTATGATATCAAAACTTGACACAATAGTTTTAATGACAAAAAAATGACATAATGCTATCATCTAATTCAGACTGAAACTGGTCAAAAGGGAACATTCATAAACCAGCTTACTCCCTTATTATGCAAAATCACATAAAGTACTTCAACAAAGTGAAAAAATCTTTTGCTGCTAAACTCGGCAACAGCCTAAACACAACTACTTATAAGTGAGTAAGAATCCAAAGAGTTTTGTTCTGATAGAGAAGAGTTATTTTAAATCATAACTGCTTGCAGACGAAGTGACAAACCCTGAGTACGTTTCACATACCGGCAAGAACATGGCAAGACTCTCCTGCCTGACCTTCACGGGAATGGAATACAACACGAAAGGGCAACATAAACCCCCGTGGCACCCCGGAGATCCTTACGTCTGCCATCTCCCCTTGGGTTCGAGGCCTTTAAAGACACAATTACTTAGCCTCACATACTATGCAGTCCAATTTGTTCTTCTCTCTTACTGAATAAAAGGCTGTGCAGCTGGAATTACAGCTTTAGAAAGGATAGGAGGCACGAAAAGGGAAAAAAAAATCCATTTAAGTTTATTTGGTAACTATTGGTAGCTTCCTACTTCTAAGTGGTTGTGCTCACAACAGTCAGCTACAAGGTTCCAGTTAGTTAGTACACAAGTCAAAAACCACTTGGCATACCCACTTCCAGTGTTCTTCTAGAGGAACTGCTAGAGAGTCAGAGTACCACAGTCCTGCCCAAGCTAGCTCAGGAATAAGCAAAGGGCTTTTACTCCTTCTAATTTGAAGTATTCAAAAACAGAACCCTAGAAGTCAAATTCCATTATGTTGACTGCTGATGAGCCTGGAATGATGATCCGAGTTAACATAACTTTCCTGGAGAGGGGAAGGAGAAATAATGTATGCTATACCTGTAGCGTTTTTCAGGAACTCCCAGAGATGTTAAAACTGAAGAAATATTGGAATGTAAAAGGCATTAGGGTTGCATTTCAATGGCCCTTATACAAAAGAATTCTGTGAACGTTATCAACGTCCTAATAAAAGACTTACACGGGTCCTTTGACAGATGTAAATTAGCTTTTGAGCCTACACCCTGACAAAAAAAAGAGACACATCAGTTTAGATACTTGTCTTAGATCAGCCAGGGAAAAGAACTATCAATATTCTTTAATTCCCAGTCATTTAACTAATTCTTCCTTTCAAGAAAAGTAATAGTCAACTGGGTTATTTCAACACTAACTTCCAAATCCTAGGGGGAAAGAAGAGCACCAGGACATAGCGCTTGAACGTTATCCTGTATAACCGATTCATCCCAACATCAGTGCCACGTTTGAGGCAGCATTTTCCATTCAAGCACCTTTGTAACAGTAACTCTAGCCAGCTGGAATCCACAGGAAGCCTGTTAAGATTTCTCTTTCATATCATCCTCAAAAGGGAATCTTTTTTCTCTCCTGAGGATCCTAAAAACAGGATGGTGCTTTATAAATTTTCAGAAGGGCACTTAAGATTTTGAATTAACTCAGTTTCTAGCAGCTTTCTGGAAGCTATAGAATTATTTGGCTTCACTGTGGGCTTGTACTTTATCGTCAAGGAGATCTAGGTTTTTCCTACGTTAAAATCTTTGTGGTACAAGTCAAGGATACACTTGCCATGCAAACACAAGGCTGTTAAATCACTAAACTCAGGTGGATGGAGGAAAAGAGACTTCAGTTCACAGTGAAGCCCACTGGATAATCACCTTTACAGACACTGACTCCAGCCAGACAGTTTGGTAAGAGGGAAGGTGAAAGCAGTTAACCATTATCTCACACAGCCGAGGCGGGAATCTGTGCTCTAATATTAAACAACTGACCACTGTAAAGGGCTGGGAGTAGGTGACTATACATAGCTCAGAAGATAAAAGAGTGTAGAGTGGCCTTGGAATTCGGACACCAACTGTTCAGCACTTGTTTGTAGCTGGCAGCCAGATTGTTACACGCTTTTTTTGCTAAGATAGTGCAATTTTCTACTGCCTTTCTCCTCAAAACAGAAGTAGTTCACTAGTGTGTGCAAGAGCTTGAGCAGAAATGAAACTGATCCCACTTGCAGAAAAAAAAAAAAATGGTGGAGTTTTAACTTATTTACAAGTTCAGAAGAAAACTTCTTCTCCCGGGCCCAGACTGCTTAAACAGCCCACCTCTCCCTTATCAGGAGCGCGTCCTTTGAGAAAGGACACGCATCAGTTCTCTCTCTGCTTACCGATCAGCTTCCCACTGCTCCTATGTTACAGCTGGGGGAGAAGAGCAGCACCTTGCTGCACCTGAGAAATTCCAGTTTCCTACCTTGTACGTACTGCTGTTAGTTACAGGCAAGGCAAAGAACTCAGGTTCCCGGCAGGTTAAAATTCTATTAACCTTATTTTGCAAGTGCTTTTCCTGCAGGAAAAAGTTTTTACAGATGACAACATCCCTTTCATGTATTTTAAGGAAACACCATCAGTCTAAAAGGCAAACAGTGCAAAGGTGAAGTGACATAAGGCTATTTAAAAACAAAACAAAAAAAAACCCAAGCTGCCTGTAAGAAATCTGTTGGCAATTGCTTTCTTTTTCTTGAAGAAGAAATCCTCTAGACTGGCACAGTGCCACTGAGTAGAGGTCTCCATTTGACAGACTTCACACATTACTTGGTTACTCTTGCAAAACCAAACAAATACATGAATTTACATGAGAATTAGCCTAACAATTTCTGCATCTCTGCCCAGTTCTTCCCGCCAGACTGAGCTTCATTTGGTGGCGAGCACCCTGTCCTACGGGCACCATTGCTTACAAAAACCAAGCAATCGCACACGCTGGATTCAACGAGGAGCTTCTAACAGCTGAAAGGCACGTGTTGGAGACAGGAGTAGGAAAATACATACACAGTGATCTTAACATTGTTCTACCATACTTCCTAGGACGTGGTGAAGCGTCCAGTATTCGTGTTAGGACAGGCAGACGGAAACGCATTTCTTGACAGCATCCCTACAGGCAGGAGAAAGAAAAAAAACCCCAGAGTCACCTCAGTTAGGCTGCTCCACAAGACTCATTCCGTGCTGCTGTCACCCTGCCACCGAGGGCTTTAAAGATGAGCTGACCACGTATGAACTGTGCTTAATGCGTTCCTGGAGCCACGCAAATGATGCGGAGACAAGGGGCTCCGCTCGCCGCCCACCTGCCCTGGAAGGGACCCCTGTGAGCTGCTACGGAGGTGGTGTGCTGGGGGATGGGGCTGAGGGAGCAGGAGGGGACTGTGTGCTCAAACACAGAGCAGAGCTCGTGGGGGAGAACAGGAACAAGGGGTGCCCAGAAGAATACACTTGTCTGGTAGCACTTTGGACCACCATTTAGGCATTCCAAAGTCAAGCCTTAACTTCGGCGTGGGGTCAGGTATTTTTAGAGGATGCCCTCTCAGTTGGTTATGTTTGTGTTCTCCCACTAGGGAAGATGTTTAGTTTCATTCTCACAGTTCACTACATGTACTTCCTCCCACTAAAACACCGCCATGGAAAAACTTCCAAAGCCATGCATTACACTGCTTCTACAAGCTGATCTGCACCATTCCATTTCAAGGTAACAAAGAGGGAGGGAGTAGGGAAGCTTACCTTGCAAACGGTATGAAGGAAATGCTGTACCTAAGAAGAAAGATTTTTAAAGTTACTCTTCATGTCAGATTTCATTAGTCACAAACAAGAACCACCCCTCTGATGCTCTAAGCAGGGAACTGCAAGATTCACAACCAAAAGGAAGCTCTGAGTTTGTGAGCGACAGGGATGAGTATCCTTGGCAAGTCACCCTAGCCCAGCCAGGCCGTGAAACACGGTGGCAAAGTCGGGGTGCATATTGTAGAAGCATTTTAAACACATCCCTCCTGCACCCCATGTTCTTCATGCTCCAACACCTACAGGCAGGGAAGACTAGTCTTTGAGGGCTGGCAAGATGTTCGTATCAGTTTCTGTGACACGACACAGCGCCTATGTTAACTTAAAGAACACTGACACGTAATCTGATTGGCACATCTGGGTCTTTTAACAAGACAAATCCAGGAGAGTGTAAGAGAGGAATACCAGACAGTAAGCAACAAACTGATTTAAACGAGAAAGTTAACAAAAAAAAGCCGTTTTACTTCAAGCTCACAAAAAATAAATGCTTTCAAAGGAACTTGCCCCAAGAACAGAGCCCTGAGCTCCATCTCCAAAGCCTCTGCAGTGGTGTGAGAGACAAGGAGCGGGAGCAAGCCAGCTCCTCACTGATGCATCGTGTCACATCTAAGGGAGCGGGGAGGTAAAAATTCTCCTTCCCTCTAACTCGGGCAAGGCCAAAACCCACTTGCACTTCAGCTGCTGACGTCAGGTGCAACAGCAAGCGGAGCATGCGGGGAGGAATTCACTTACCAGGCCAAGGCAAAAAACTGCAAGATGCAGAAAAGGAGCACGAGTCCTCTCTTAGACCACTGGAGGAAGAGAAGGGGCCGGGGGGAACACAGCACACAATGAGACAACAATGCCTTACGTTTTAAAGTATACTCCAGTTAAATACAGGCGTAGGACTCCAGTACTCACCCAGAACGCAGAACACAGTGTTAGTATGAGACACAACTACAAGAAAACAAACGATTTGTATTAAACACAGAAAAAAACTCCAGGTTTTACAGATATTCTAACACTGTAACGGTTCCTTCAGAGACAGAAACATCCTTCCATACCTTCAGCCAATCCCACATAAGAGTTCCCCTTCTTTACAATGCTCTTGCCATTACATTTCTGACGTGAATCAAAGCAATGAGGAAATATCAGCCTGATATCTCCAAAAATAATTTTCTGACTGCAAAGGAATGCGAGGAAGAGGTTCCTACAGCTCTTCTGCAACATCAGCAGCTCCTACTTCATCTCACACGCATCTTGGCGTCATAGGCATACACCACACTTCGTCGTTTTGGGCAAGACTTTCAGTCACAGCTCCAGTCTTTCTGGGTCTGTACGTGCCACGTTTCCTGTTGGTTCTCAAGGTGACCATGGTGTTGAAGTTAGGTCATTACTTAGTTCTTACCAATTAAAACTACAGTACCCTTTCAGGAACTTTTAGATAGAGCTCTCCTGTTTAAAGTCCTGCACAGTCACTCAAAACGGCCCCTCCTTGTCTTCAGAGTTGCACTGTGTCTTTACTACAGTTAAATCTGGGAGGTAGTAGGCCATTTTGGGTTATTTTCTGGTTTAACCCTAATTTTAAACAGTAGCCTCTTTTTAGTTCAAATGTTGATTTTCAGCGTAAGACACAACAGCTCATTTAGCTATGGCAGATGCTGATACTTGACCTTCCTTCATCAACATCTGACAGCCTTTTGATACATACGTACCACTGTGCCACTACAGATTATAACGTGTTATTCTGCTTGGGTAAAAAAAGCAAAGAGACATATGTAGTACTGCACATTCAAGACATGCATTGCAAAGAAGTCATACACTTCACCTCAACCATGATTATTGACACTGGAAGTAGTTTGCCTATTAGTTTTAAGGTGGTGACTTGTATATTGGTCAAAATAGTACATCATACATCTAACAACCGGTTTTATTCCCCGTGAACAACATTCCAGGCATTCTCCCAACTCCAGGCATCCCAAATGCATACAAAACAAACACACCACGCAGCAGCGTCTTGCCTGCTGCTGATCTGTGGGCATACACAGGCAATTTCTCAAGCTCCATCAGTTGCCTGCAGCATCCCTGGATGTTTAAAGAGAAAACAGGAAGTGCTGATTCCAAGCGAATGCTTTGGACATTCACACTGAAAATGGGAGGGCAGTTTCATGCAAGGTAAACCACCTTCCAGATTTGACTCTCCAAGAGAAAATGGGAAAGCTGGAGACAAAAAAGCACATGCACTTTAAACAAGAAAGAGTTTGGAACTTAGCTGCAGTTTTCTTACACACCCCCAGTAGAAGGTTAGCCACAATTCCCATCTCCTGAAGATAAAAATAATTCCAAGGGCCAATTTTAGTTAAATGTTGAATTTGCAATTTCATTGTGTCATACAAGTTTCAAAACCTGAAGCTGTCAGCCAACGGGGATGACTGCTGTATTTTTTTAAAGCAAGATGACCAAGGCATAGGGATTCCCCAGATGTTTTGTCAAGAAATGACGATTTTATCAGGGCAGAAATACCTACACAGCTCTATAAGCAAATCACACAGAATATAAAAAGACACAATTATGCAAAATAGAACATGTAACAACTTCCACAGTACTGCTTTTTAAAACGTAGTTCCCCATCTTTCAAGCGACATGAGAATACGATGCTGTGACCTCCAGCACACTAATGAAAGCACAGGCGAGGTTCATACCCGCCAGCCACAGACCCTTAATGCTCACTGGCACAACCACCTGGCTTCGGCTCAGTCTTTTGTAAATAGGAAGGGGGTTTTCCGGTGCTACACATACCTTCCCACTATAGCAGATGTACAGAATGTTGGATGTTTAAGAAACAAACAAACCAAAAAAAAAAACCCCAAACACCCACAAACACATGTTGAGCCTGGTTAGATCAATGTGTATGAAAGGACGTTACAGAGGGAATTGCTGACAGGTCAGTAGGAGTTAAAACTGCTTCCTTTGATACTTACCAGCATGACAATAGTAGCAATCAAACGTGTAGGCTCAAACATCCTTTTCAGCTGTTTCATTGGTCCCATAAGAAAAAGAGTGCTGTGAAAAACAAAGCCCGATGAACACAGAGGTGGAAAGGCAAAAGTGAAACTAGGTAAGATCCCTCATTAAGGGGGGTGTTTTGCTGAATCGTCTGCTGTCCTATGTTGTTGTGGTAATCAGTGCTGCATAACAAAAGAAACCAGGATGTCTCAAACATCCTTTTCAGCTGTTTCATTGGTCCCATAAGAAAAAGAGTGCTGTGAAAAACAAAGCCCGATGAACACAGAGGTGGAAAGGCAAAAGTGAAACTAGGTAAGATCCCTCATTAAGGGGGGTGTTTTGCTGAATCGTCTGCTGTCCTATGTTGTTGTGGTAATCAGTGCTGCATAACAAAAGAAACCAGGATGTGCGATGAGACTCATTCCTGCTTTTTCTGCTTTTCTTTGTGCAAGGTATTTTATTCTGTAATTTTAATCATATTGTTCAGTTACAGCCAGCATAAGCAGGGCAGAACTATCAGGCTAGAAGCAGAGGTCCAAGTCAGCTTCAATCAGATCATTCCTGTCAGATGCTTTTTTAACCTGCTCTTCAAAAACACCAGCCACAGAGGCTCTGCATGGATTGCCAGGTAATCCAGCTCAATTCCTCTACATAAAGGGCTGTTTTCAGGCCTGGATCCATTCTCTGATCCCTTACCAGATCTGCAGGCCACATTTAAAGCCCTGGTGATTGATACGGAGTGAATTACACAAGTTACCTAAGGTGGTATTTCCGCCTCATCGCTATACTGTTTCACACAGAACATCACCAAATGCAAAATGGCAGAGAATTATTTTTATCTTGAGGGGGGAGAAAACCAACAAATTAAAAAAAAAAAAAAATCAATGCTCAAAGCATGACTTGGATTCTTTTTTACTGATGAGTAACTTTTATCTTGAATGCATTGCTAATAACAATAAAAAAACCTTTACCGTTTCAGGGCACTACTGGGGAAATGCTGTCCTTTAAAACTGAGCAGCAAGAGAACTCCCTAGATAAGCAAGTCTCACACAAACCCAACAGTTTCTACCACTTGCACACCTTCACCTATGATTCTGCTTTACTTTTTCATCTTTATTCAGGAACTAATAAAGATTGTTACCTCCCAATGGACGCAATATTCCCCAGCGTGTAAAACACCGCGAAGAGTACCAGCCCCTTCTTTGGTACCCATAGCAGACAGCTACCCTAAAAAGGAACATTTAAAGAGCGAGAGGTGGAAAAAAATTAATGTTGTTTTTAAAATGCGAAAGAAGTTTATCAAAAAACGTCACAACACAAAAGAAGTCTTAGGAATACTTAAATCCGAACTGCAGAATCACACAGGCGCAAAAAGAAAACCGCGTTTATTGGCATTCTTGTTAAGGGTGAGCGCGTTGCATCTGATCGGGACCGGGACAGACGCCTTCCCAGAGGCTCAAAAACGCCAGGCAGCGGCATACACCGAGGCTGTAATGATTTGGTCTCCCAAAACCCAACTATCGGGGAGATCTGGGAAAAAAGCCCTTACCAAGAGCGAGAACAGGCATCCGATTGCAAAACAAGCGATGAAGCCTTTCACTCTGGTGCCCCAGCCTAACGAAGTCGCATCGATAACCTGGGAAGGAGAACAGGAGCGCATCAGCAGGGACTCGGGGGTCTCGCCACACACCAAGTGCCGCCTTTCCCCCGCGGCCTGAGCCGTGTCCCCGCGCCGGGGAACCTCAGTC